CGCGAAGAGCAACGGCCTTCTGTCCCGGGTCGGCTCCTCAAAGCGAAGCAGCGCCTGCAGCCATTTTCCGAGAAGCAAGCGAAGCGGAAATGAATCACCGACGCCGAAAGGGAAGAAGAGGGGCCCAGCTCATTTCCTCGAGCCGGCCCACAGCACCCTCTTCTGCCCGGTGGAGCGACCAGCAGGCGCTTTCCGGGCCTGCGCAGCCGCAGCGGCCACGTATCCTCCCGGAGTTTTGAGGGGGTGTTAACTTAATTATTATGTATAATTATTATGTACAATAACTAAACTCGTCGACAATGGTGCCACGCACTGTAGCCGACTATGTTTTTCAGGAGCAAACTGAACATACGGGTGCTCTAATATTTATTCATATTCAGCTGTCAACTGGTCTCAGATTTATTTGTTCTACAACGGAAACGCAGGCGTCAAACGCGAATCTTCTTGATACCGTATTTTCAAGGGATTTGCCCGGAATCACATCACCGATGACGACTCTCAGCACGGCGTACATCCGAACAACGCTACTCTTCGGTTTTGGCCCCACTATGGCACAAAAATGTGGATCAGGAGCAATGTTTCTCTTAATTCCGCAAAAAAAAAAAAAAAAAAAGGGTTCTACAAACATCCGCCATCAAATCACAAATCACGTGTGTCTGCACGTAAAGCACTATCGAAATAATAGGTTGGGCGATCTGGGGCCCTACCGTGGTGTAAACGGAATGGATCCTCTTGATTTCATGCACTTTTTGATGGGATCCTAATCTGTTGATCAACTCACAGAACACATTTGTCTGAATGCAGTAAACCATTGCATGTAGAGTTTGGACTCGTGGTGCAAAAACATGGATTTGAGGTCAGATTGTCTTGATTTGTTACAATTTTTACATGTACCCACATGAAACACAGATCATATTTCTTTTCCTGTAATGAGCCACTGTGATCACAGATCATTCTTTTTGGCCCCACAAAGGTGTCAAACGTGATCATGATTTTACATCTAACCCAGCTGAAATCACTGTTAATAAACAAATCATAACTCTCTGCACTGAACCAATCATCAGAATCATAAATCTAAGGAATTTTAGAAATATAGCATAAAAAACTTGGACTCAGCACACATATCCTCCGGGATATTATTATGTGCAACTTGCCAGAAAGATCATCAAGCTGCATATCATCTTTCTCAATAGGCAGAAAAAGAAAAAAATCACAGATCTGATAAATTTTGGTATCGGTTTTTTAAAAAACACAATTTTCATCTGATTTTTTTTACCTGAAATCAGATTATCTTTTCTCCAATGCACACTTCCATTAGTCAGTTCTGGCAATTTCTGGCATCCTCATGACAAGACACACATCTGAGGCACAGATTCTCAAAAATCTTCATGATATTCACATTAACAAATCACCAAATCAGGATAGTGGATCTGAGGAATGAATCCTTATGGATCATATGGAGTTCTACAGGATATTCCCCCCAAATTATCTTCAAAAGAGTCAGACCATACAATTACATTGAAAAAAGACCCACTGATTCAGTGATTTACTGTACTATGCTGTTATTACTCAAAAAACATGGATCTCAGGTACAGAACCTCACAGAGCCACAGGTTTCATGCAGAATTGACCCAAACCTCGACATCTATTGTTAGTTGAAATCATAAAAATAATGGCTCCTGTGCTTTATGAAACCACTGTATTCCAAAAAGATGAATACTCTGTATAGATCATCAAGAATCTACACATTTTTTAAATTCAATCAGGTATCTTGCCCTTTTAGTGTTTATGCACCATTCAGAGCACTCAATAGACTATTGCTGTCAAACCTAAGATGACTAAACTTTCTAATCTGGTTCTCTAATTCCTTATTCTAAAACAAAATGGAAGGGTTTTCGTAAATTAAAGTGTTCACAATTCCTACAAGTGTTACATGTTGTTTTTCCCCCAGAAGCTATGGCAACTTAACTACTTACTGTAGCATAACTGTCATTTCTTCCCTGCAACCACAGTATCAGAGGTAGGTTGGGCTAAAGGAGAAATGACTGGTTACCAAAGAGCTGCCATTGGCAATTCTGGGGGGGTTTCCTGTTGTAGTCCCCCACCTTAAATACTACGCCATATCAGCTCTTTATCCATCTTCCTGTTGCTGATTGTGACCTCTGGGTTGGAACCCACAAACACAGGTTTGCAGCCTCCATTTCTGCTTTAGCCCTTTGCATCCAATGAACCCCACAGAACAGCACACTGTCGAAAGACACAAGGGAAAGCAAAATGGCTAAAGGAGCTTTTGAGATTTTGCTCCCTGTTCCCAGTATTTAGAGCAAAATATTTATTTAGTAAAATAGGGCAACAGTTTTCTCTTACTAAATTCTAACATATTGTAAACAAGTGTTATGATATTTTAAAATAAGCACAAGGTCTTAATGGAATCTCATATAGTACTATAGATTTTTTTTTCTGTCTTCCATTCACACTATATATAGTTAAGGTAACAGTAAAATTAGGCCCCCCTCCCAAGAAAGTAAATTGAGATCAATTTATTTTCAAATATCATCTCACGATATAGCTTTAAAAGAGAATGAGAAACTCAGGGGGGAGAAGTCTAAAAGCAGCTGTTGGGAGTGATGACTGTGAAATCTGATTCACAGGCAGAATGCCACTGAATGAATAATTGGAAATAAAAGCCTTCTTAAATTGCTGATGGGATTTCCAGAAGCATAACACTGGCCTCTCTGGGAAACAATGTTAGATTCAATGGACTTACTGGTCTCTCATTTCCATCCTCCCCTCTCCCCCGGCTTTTCTTATATAACCAAGCTTTCTACCAAAGAAATGCAACAAAAATAACCAGACATCCCAAACATTTTTTTTGTCTTATAGATCCAGGAACTGTTCTATCAGGCAGGGAGCAGGCAGGCACTGTTAAGTTCAGCTACAAAGGTTTGGTTTATTTCCTTAATCCTCTTGGAACCAGAACTTTCTGAACTAAATTACTAATTCAGAAATAAGGAAAGTTAACAAAACATCTGACCTATGCAGACATTTTAATGTATATTCAAGTAATGCCAAAGCATAAATAATGGTAACATCTATAGCTTCAATGCTGTTAACAGAATCATTGCAGAAATGATTACATAGAAAAACAAATGTGAGATTTATTTTACAGAGAAACTCCAATTCATGGAAAAGGAAATACACAGAACAGCTTGATTATTTGTTATTTCACCATATACACACTTCAGACAGCACAGGAAAGCTGCTCCTTCACAGTGCTTGCAGAAACCTTTAAACCGCCAGGCTCTCTGCCAATTATTTTCCATTTGTATTTAAATAAGTAACAATATATTAAAAATAAGATGCTGGAAACCTGCAAATATAGTGATACCAGCAGTATTCTTAGAAAGGGGCCACACTTAAGACAATGTTCTGCACATTTTTCAATGCAGTACCTGTATTAACTGGTTTGGATGTTTCTTTAATTTTGTTTATGATACGTTCTCCCCCCCCCTTCTTTTAAGTGTAGATGGGTGAATAGCTAAGTGTTTTGTTGTGGTGGTTTTGACATCAGAATCTTTCTTTTTATAATGCAGGCATTTGAAGAAAATATGTGACACAAATCTCCATGGTAGTCAACGTGTTGGCCATTAATTTTCTCTGAGCTTTATCAGTTTTACCTTCTATGAAATGAATGCTAGAATTTTTTTGTGTCTTCTGGACTCATTATCCAAAAACACATTGTCTGTCCTGTACCTGTGGTCTTGGACAAGATAATTTCTTTTTGGCCTCACCAGCACTGTCAAGAATGAGATTTTGCGATTGGCTACATTCAGCATGGCAGTTATTGGGCAAAAATGCCTGCGATATTCTCAAAATGTCAAGAGTTGGGGCTGATTGTTCTCTACCTTACATGTGCCTTTTGAAGTAAAAATATATCAAACAAGATCTTAGATTTATGCTATTTTATCAATATTTGAAGGTCCATCATAAAAAATAGGAATTATACGAATTCAGAAATATTAAGTGTGCAGAGAAAGAACCTAAATATAGACTTTTTCCATAGTGGTATTACCATCATAGTTCCTGCTGTAAAGAGACAAACTTGTTTTTTGAACTGAGTGGAACCTTGCATTTATCAAGGGACCCGTGGTGGCAAAATGCCAAAATATGCACATTTCTTTCTATGCATCTCAGCCAAACAATTTTTTTTTCAGGGAGCAGCAGTAAAGTTTGGTTCAGTAAATGCAATCACTGAAATTATAATGTAAGGAAACTTATGTGTCCATTATAAAGAAAGCCAATTTAACTTTCTGTCAAGAGTTTAAACCCCCCCCAATCATCTCTTAATTAAATTTGTAAAATTATCTGTAATAATCACAGACAAGTTAGAAGCAAAAGAAATGTCCAGTTTAGTCTGGCTAACTGGACAGTAGATACTTCTAAGAATTAAAAGCCAAGAAAAAATCCTCCCATCTTTCAGAATAATGAAATTAATTTCCAATTCTTTACAAGATAGAACCACTTACAGGTACTGAGAATGGGCTACATGTACATAACACTGACTCAGAGTAGATGAAGATAGGGAAGAATTGTAATATAAGAAATGATCGCTAATACACATGACACATCTCCCTCAGCCCGTAACTGAATCATAAAATATAATGCAAATTAAGATCAAGTAATAACATCTGCCATATTTTATGATTTATAGCAGTTGTGATTGGCTAAATAAATGTGAGATGAAAAACATGGGAAATTACTTGCATAAATACAAAACTACAGAGAGCTATCAATTTTAAAACTAAGTTAAGACTTGACTGTGGACAAGGCCAAGAGACAAAACATTTCAAAAATGAACATCAGGATTTGCTAAGTTCAGTGGAAGATGCTTCAATTAATTATTTTCAGTTGGATTTATAAGAACCAATTTATATTACATATATTAAAATCAGCATTCCAATATAAACAAACCATTTTCTTTGCTACCTGTTTTCTAAAACATTATGCATATTAAATACTTGACTAACATTGGGATAAAACACTAATTTGCACCTTCTTGAGCTGTAGTGTACCGTGGTGTTTAGGTAAAGATGCTGAACGTCACATGCACACATTCTTGAAAAGAAAATATATGAAATAAGATACTGAGGATTGACTTAGCTTATAGAACAAAGAAGAAAATCTAAGATCTACTGAAAAGCCAAAGAGATGAATAAAACTGGTGACACATAAAAGTTCAAAGGGCTAATAACCCAAGTATCAGTTTTTCAATTTGCAGTGTCCATTTATGCAGCATATTCCATTAGTTCATGTAAACAAAAGGATCTAGATTCCAATTCAAATGGGAACATATATAACTGTCAAGTTAGATTGCACTACTCAGTTTTTTAAGTCTACCCTTCTACATCATTATCAACAGAACATTACCACCCCTAATGAAGAAGATAGAAAAACGATTAGACCCAGTCTAATTATATTCCAAAATGTCTCTGAAGTTTGTCAGCATTTTTGTCAGCATATGCCACTTGTTTAAAGGTATGAACTGGGATATTAAAGTGGCATATATAACAATGAGGAATGATCCTAAGAAATCCTTCTTGATGGATCCACAGGAGGTCTCTTTCCATTTGTGGAAGAGATCAAGATTCAAGCATGGGCTCCTGATGAAAGGAAGGAAGGAAGAGAAGAAGCACTACCTACTGATTGTCTCCTTCAACTGCCAATGCCATTTTATACACTGTTACAGAGGGTACTTATCCCAGTGTCTTGAGGGGCACATAAAATGTAGAAATTGGCCAACATTGCTTTCCCACCTTTTCCTCAACAGGGGCATCAGTGTTAAGTTCTACAAATAGGAATTCTGGAACCAAGCCATAAAATATAACATAATTTGGTCAACCACACAATACCTCAGTTCTCTTGGGTTTTCATGCCCAAAGAGAAATATTACAGTACAAGGTGGCATCTCCAATAAAGGGAAAAAGAATGTCTTCCTTACTAGCAGAAAAGGCTTGCTCTTTAAATATCATTACTGTCTTCCATGTTTAGATCACACATACAGTACTTAACCTATAATAATTCACCCTCATAGTTGAGAATGTGACTTTTCCTTCAGAACTGTGATTAAACTACACTGAAATAAGAAAGAACTGATAAAGATTTAACCCTGTTTGTATATATACAGAGGGGTGTGAATGAAATCAAGACTAAAACAATTCTGCTGATGTACTCATAGTGAATTCCACAGCTATTATCATGGCACTTCTGAGCCAAAAAACACAAGCAGTTCATGACAGAAAATGAAAGTAAAGAAATAAACACAAAGGTCTGTAAAGACATCCCCCATTTTGCTGTAAGTGTCCATGGAACGACTAATTACTTCTGCTGGGATCCCAGACAGTAAAAGAGCAGCAGTTAATACTGTAGTTTTTGTCTTCTTTTCATTCTGTGCAAAAGAAAGAAAAAGTTTAATTTTTCAGAATTTTCATCTTAAAGCATCTTCTTTCATTTAAAATGTTATTGAACCTATTCTTCTTCTTCCATAGCTTGTTCCAAGTATCTAAAAGAAAATGGCTAGCCTAGAATCACCCAGAGAACTCTATGGGTGACTGGGAACATGAATCTCCCAGGTCTATGTCCAGCACATTAGTTACTACTAAAGCGAGTCATTCCACTTGGGTCACTCCGAATTAGAAATGTTGAGGATATGTTTCTTCTAATAAAACTCTTACCTTTGGGAAATACTTCGACAGTCCCATATATGCAAGTTGCAAAGTAAGGAATGGAGCAAATATTGACTGTAGAGAAAAAAAACATAGAATAAAAAAGATTATATAGTTTAGCAAACAATCACGAGAAATCACACCAAATACTTTCACACTTTGAAAGTATCTATTTCTTGTAGAACATTTCAATAATTTAACTGAAAAACGTAAAAAGAAAAAGAAGCACTTTTTAAAAAACGCCACTAGTCAAGCATATTGTGTTTATGTTTACGAATAACTCGTAGGTGTTAAATGTATCTAGACACTGCTGCAGAGATGGGTGGAGGGTGGTTAACATATATTTATAAGTTAAATATTTTAATTAATTAAATGTTTAATTAAAACCTAATTAACACATTAATATTAATATTAATTCATAATTAATTATAATTAAGTAAATAATAAACTACTTTTAATTGTTATTTATCTTCCTGTAAACTGTCCAGAGTTGTTTTCTAATGAGATGGGCACTGACAAATTTGATACATAAATAAAAATATTAACATATTAATAATAGTTAAATCCATGCCTATCACTTATTTCCAACACAATGCTCTTTGAGCACCTAGCACACACCATTAAATGTATTAGTAAGGTTTCCTTTAAAGGAATGATTGTCAGCTGTGCTTTAGGACCATTCAAATGGTTAACAAAAAGAGGGCACACAGCCACTGCTTTTTACCTCGATTTCCATCCCTTTCTAATGTTTAACTGATGCCAAGAATGAACTGCAATAAGAAGTTACAATTCCCTGACATTGTTTCTAGTCCAATTACATGTCTTCTGTCTCCGACATCCTTTCAACTTGGTCAGCACCTGGGACTTGAAGGAATCACTACAGGTAATCCTCAGTTAACAACTGCCCTGTTTAGCGACTGTTCAAACTTACGACGATGCTGAAAAAGTAACTTTATGACCGGTCTTCGAACCTACGACTGCCACAGTGTCCCCATGATAGCCATTCGGACACTTTGCAATCAGTGTGCATTTACAACAGTCACAGCATCACACAGTCACACGATCACCATTTGTGTTCTTCACAGCTGGCTTCCAACAACCAAAATCAATGGAGAAACCAGCAATAAGTTGCAAGTTGTGGTCACGTGACATCGTGCTTAATAACCATGAGTGATTCGCTTAACAACTGCAGCAGAACTGACATCGTAAGTCCAGCATGACTTAACATATATATGACAAATATATTGCCAGTCCCATCTATGGTCATTAAGTAAGGACTACCTGTACTTACTTATCTTAAGGATGCTCTGAAGAACAGACTTTTATGCAGTTCTTAACAATTATTGCTAGGAACAATAGATGGTGTTATGGATTTGAACCTGAATCCGCTTAGCCATGAGAAAATAATTGTTCAGCATGAATACCCCATACATGTACCACTCTACAGGCCTGTTAGCAAGGCAACCAAGACAAAATGAAAATGTAGTAAGATTAAAAAAAAAAAAACTCACCAAGTATTTGCATACAAAAACTCTAACCCCAATGGCAAGAAGCGCACACCCCACCAATCTAAAAATGTGAAAGGAATCAAATTCCTCCACAGCATTTCCATTTTCTTGGCTTGGCTTCTCATTCATCAGCTGGTTTCTGAGCTTCATTGCTTCATCAAACCTTGATAAATACTGGTCTAACCCATGGCGTGGTGGTCTCTGTGGAACATCAAACAGTTCCCCTCTATTGCGTTGCCGGAGCTCACTGCTGCCATCGCTACCGACCTCATGAGTTTTGCTAAATAAGTCTATTTTCTCTCCTTTGTGATCTGCTAAACTGCTCGTGTGGTCAGCCGTTCCTGATAAACTGCAGACTGTATCACCAAGCACAACCCGTTTGGAAACAGGAGCAGGAAGGCAAATTGGTTTATCCTGTTCCAGCTGAAGCTTAGTTTCTGAATGGCTGTCATCGTCTAAAGAGAACAGAAAAAAAACTGGAATCATACCACATATCTGAAGTTGATAATAAAGTTCAAAGAGTCCTAGACCAAAGTACAGGACTTTGTCAACAAATGATACAAATCTTCAGTTGGCAGGAGTGCTCTTCTATGTTACCACATTTAAAACTTATTGTTTCCCATTTGCACTTGTAATTTACTAAATATAAATAAAATTATAAATTGCACACTGATTCACAGGAGAAAAGTAAGGCACTTTTAAAGCCAAGATGGATTTATAAACATGAATAATATAAATAAAAGTATAGAAATAAATCAGAAATGCCATTTTTAATATTTCAAACATTTAAAGAATGCTTGGTTTAATCTTGATCAACCATTGTTTAAACATTTGAAATATTAAAAATAACATTTTTAATTTATTTCTACACTGTGACACTTAAAAAAATGTTAGATTAAACCTGTTCCAAAGTACTTTATAAATCTACAGTGAAAAAACATGGAACCTAAAATATAGATTAGAAATTCTGAAGCAATAGGGGAAAAGGGTGTTTGTTTTTTTTCGGAAAAATTGAAAGTTTAGGAAAAATTAATATATGAAATATGACTTTTTTATACTGCTGTTTACTGATCTTAGTTCACTTAGCTATTTTAAGAACATACAAGTATTATGTATTACTTGGATTGCTCATACAATTATCATAATTTGATGAATTTAGTAAAGGTAAAAGTATAACTTAGATAATTATGTTTACTAACAGAATTTACTTTCAAATATTTAAATTTTTATTACAAATGAAACAATAAACTGGGAAGTCAAAGGAACCAAGGATCTCTTAATTTTGTCAGTTTGACTAGCTGGAAAAAATTAAGCTGAAAACAGAAAGAATCATCAACATGATAATAAAACAATTATGTCCTTTGAGGCCTGCTCAAAAACAAATCCACCAATCTTTTTATTTAAAGTTAGCCACAGATAAGCTCACTGGATCCTTCTTCCTACTTTGTGAAAATGGCATTGCTCCTTACAGCATAAATGTGGCTTGCTCTTTCATGACTGTCTGTCCTCTGTATATAGGAATTGTACTACAGTAGTCCGACAGTCTAGATAAAGGTTTTCCTATTATGAGGTAACAGAAAACATTTGGGGGGAATAAAAGACAGCAAATACAAGTGCATTAGCACTTTTGTCTTACTGTATTCAATATTCTCAAAAAATTGACCTTAATTCTTTCCCTTTTTTTATATTTTAGAATACAACAAAAAGGTGGGGGGGAGAGGAAGGAAAAAATGTTTTTTTTCTTCCTCCAAGCCTTTAATTACAAGATGATTGGCAGGAACAAATTAACGATACATCAAGTTAAACTTTGTGCAAAGACACAACTGAATATGTACCCATTGTCCCTGATAACTAATAGTGTATGTGTGTTCAATAATATTTTCTACATAGAAGATGTGTTTAGGAATTGTGCCATATATAATGAATCTTCTAGACATTGGAATGTAGCATTCTCTAATCTGGTGCCCTCCATTTATCTATAGCTCTCAGAGAGATCAGCAAATATATTTATGCAGTTAATTTTAGAAGTGCATCACAATCTGAAAAAAATAAAAACTACTGAAATATAAAACAAAGTATCCACACACACACACACACATTCTGTTTATTTTTTTAAAAACTCCCCTTTATCTTTTTTTTCTCTTTTTCTTGCTCCTCAAACAATAATATGTCCTACAGTAAATATTCCATTGCCAATAATAATGGGAAACAACAGAAATTATCCATTATGTATATATCTTATAGCCATTTTTCATTATAAAATAACATAAAGCAATACTGTATGCAAAAATACAATTATGCATATCTTTGTTGCTCAAAAGAAATGAGGGAGTAAATCCCACCTGTAATAAGAATTTACTGTATTGTGGTAGAAAAATCCATCTGTCAACCACAGCTTCATATTGGCTCACTATGACCCGCCCAGAGTCCCCTATTGTAAGGGAGATGGGTGGGAGAGAAATCCAATAAATGAATGAATGAATGAATGAATGAATGAATGAATTTGTGCATTGTAAACATTATTTAAAATATCAACAATAGTAATAATCTAATGTACTGCCTAGAGCGTTGGACTAGTCACTCATTCTTACATCTTGCTAACCACAGAATTAAGATATTATCTTAACTATTTTTAGAAATCCTCATGAGGTCACCTTTAATGTATCTCCAGCCCACCATAGAGGCAGCTTAAAATTATAGTTCACTGACCAAATTTAGATTTAGTATTTTCCCTCTTCTTCTGACACAAACAATAAAAAATTTGTGACATCCTGATGTTTAGTGATGACAAGGCCAATCCCAACCCAACTGATCATTTTAGGTTACTGCAGATACACTCCTTTGCTTGGACTGCTAGGGACTACCATTCATAGCCATTTTGGCTTGGGCTCCAGAGAATCCGGAGACCTGACTCCCAGAGATATATCTGCATAGTATACTTCTTGTATACATGGATTTAGCATTCTTCTGGAAGAACATTAGATTTTATTTTTAAGCATGTGTGCAATGCTTTTTTGAGAGAGCATAAGACCTTTCCTAAACAAAACAAAGGACTGAAGTTCCAATTGATTGGAGTTCCAATAATTTAAACCAGGAAAGAAATGGGTTCCATCAGTTGTTACTGATTCTGTCCCAAATGAGAACATCACAGATTTTCTGCTTTTTCTGCTGACAAAGAGTTTTGCACAAACATACTTTCTACTCATTTTATTACTAGGGGACACACCTTATTATCATTTTGCATACCCCACGGGCTATTTCTGAGTGCTGCCAGCCACTACGACTTACTGCCCACACCACCATTCCCTCACAGGACTTATCAATTATGGATTGGGAGCTGGGGTAAAATTGACAAGAGTTCTGCCTACTTTCACTTTCAGCCCAAGTGACAGGTCATAGAACAGCCAAGAGGCCCAGGTGGGCCACTTGCTGCCCTTGACATTCCCTCCTGCTTCACTACATACCCAACTGACAGGACACACAGGGCAGTGAGTACGACCTAACATCAAAGGGAGCTTTCCCAATGCTCCTCACCTCAACCATGCCTGTAACTTGTCAGCTAGGCTATTTCTGCACGCATGTCTAGCATTTTTCTGAAGGAGTGCTACATGTTTGAAAAATAGCCCAGCTGATACATGTATAGCAGAGGGACATGGAATAAAATGGGACCGAACCCTCATATTTGCACATGAAGTTTGTCATCTAAGCTATTTTTTAGACATGGGTTTAGTGCTGTTACAAAAAAGTACTAGATCACTGTTTAAACGAACAGTTCAAAGTGGGCTTTCAGAAGACATGAGATATATATTCAGAAATAGCCCAATAAGTCAGCAGCACGAAAAACATTCATACTGATACCTTGTCACTTGGGCACCTTGAAAGATGACTAAGTCATCAT